CCTTACTGCTGCTGCTATTCCATCTAGACAACAGCTTTACATAGGAAGAAAAGTTACAAGCTCTTTTCACCAGGCATATTTCATGACTCTGGATTTGTATAATAGTCTTAAACAAATTGGAAAAATCTTATCGCAACTGAAACAACAAACGCCATTTTGACATTTTGAATCGGCCGTCCGTGTGCATGGTGAAGACCACGTGACCAAACAAAAAAGTCGTCCTTTGAAACTCAGCAGGTTTCATTACCAGTCCCCTCTATTTAAACATATCTTAACCTTGTTCCTAACGCGCTCCAGTGTTGGTTATATCATTGACTGTTTTTCTTTATACAGGGGAACATCCCTCGTAACATGCGCAATATTGGCTGTCTTATTTCTTGTCTCCTCCAGCAGTAAATAACAGGATTGAAGCTACTGTTTATGAGTTGAATGTTAATCGTGATTAAAAAGGTATTAAACAAACGTGTAGAAAGGTTCTCGACATTAAAGTACAGGATTAATGTGACAAAACTCGGTAAATTGCACAGTAGCGCGACCCCAATCACGTATCCCATGGTTACTGCCAGCTTGGACTGGGAACCGGTTTCGGTTGGCATGGAAACGGCAGCAAGTTGGGCTTGGATTTGACGGGTGTGATGTCGCCGAAGCAGGGTAATCTTAATGTAGGAGTAAACAATCGCAATGCACATYATAAGCCAAGCTACACCACCAATAGCGATGGAAATCAATAAAGAAGTGTGGCTAATGCTACTGAATCCGATCACTGAGCACCAAAAAGCCAGCATGACAAGAATGACCCGATATAATCTTTCGTTTGTGACTAGAACATTGTACCTCAAGGGATAAAATAAAGCCAAGTAGCGATCAAGACTAATGGCTGCCATCAAAGATACTGATGAGGAAACACAAGCCAAACCGAAGAACATGAGCCCAGTCATAAAGGCACAACTAAGACGTAGGTAAGCACTCAGCATAAAAGCCGTGTACATTTGTTGCACAATCGCTCCTGTTAGAAAATCAACAACACACATTGCACCAATTAGAATGTTAGCAGGAGTTTGGAGAGATGGTGTTCTGAGAATTACTAGAAAAACCAGACCGTTTCCAATGGCACAGACTGGCGAGGAAAGACAGTTCATGACCGTCACAGCTCTACTGGTGTAATAATAGCCTTTGGTCTCATAGATCTGCAAATTGAAACCATGCCGACGCAAAGTCGGACAGATAAATAGGTTTGTGGAAATATTCATCTTCTATTCAAAATATGGCCAGTGGACCAGAACCGAAAAGAGCTGCTTTACTAAAATAGAGGTGACGAAAGAGTTGACAATTTAGCAGGTGAATCAAGTTACCATCTGTTTCGTTCGAGACTATGGGCTAAGTACTATGAAGCTATTCTCCATTGTTCCGCAAATTAAAAAGCGAGTTTTCCGTACTTACTAGAAACGCGGAAAATGTTAGACCGATTAGCAGACCAGTTTCCATCGATCGCTTTTTAGAAAGGCTCCAACTTAACATCAATATTGACTATCTCATCGTCTCAGTTAAGCAATCAAAACTTAAGTAAGTAAATTCTGTTTTTTTAACCGATGGTTGTTAAGGAGACGACTAAGGATTGCAGGTGTTTTTAGCCATTAGCCCGACAATAATTGAAGAGGTAGCGTGCAAAGCTGCTATGTGCGGACACACTAACCAGGACCACTTGAAGAAAAACAAACAATGACTACATAGATTGAAAACAAAGGAATCAAACTTAAGTCAAACTTGAACCAATCAGGAAAGAGCAACGAAGCCTAGATATCTGAGAAGTAACTTAGATGTTATCAACAACCGTGGGAATGAGAGTGAATGTGATTGGCTGAGGTTAATATGATACTGATTTTGCTGTCTCTTGATTGGCTTAATTCTTTTTCATCTTGAATTCTGTTCACTCAGTGGTCCCGGTTAGTGGAATAATTTTCTAAGGAAGATGGTATCGGGAGGCTATGCAAGGAAATTAGTGTTCCTCCTCGTAACAAGCAAAAAAGGGTGTCGACCCAGCTACTTTGGTGGAAGGACAGCTGGATTGGGGATATAAAATATCAAATGAGCGACTACGGGATATAACAAAATCCAGTTCCATCCAGGATTATTGCCATGTCCAACATCTTAAATACATGGCCCATGTTTGTCGCATGGAGAATGACGCCCTCCAGAAACAGGTCTTTTTTGTTAAAAGGACCACCTCAAGAGTTTGGAAGCCAGTTGAGGATCTCCTCCAGATAGATCCAATGCAAGCCAGGAAAATGATGATGGACAAAACCAAGTTCAAACATCTGCTCAGAGGACGTTTCCCGGAGCAGTTGTGCCCTAAGGCCAGGGATGGGCCGAGAGGATAAACCTGATGATGATGATGAGTGTGTCCGCACCGTAACGACCAGTAAAAAATTTAATATTCAGCTCACTAAAAAAGCATTATTGACAAAGCAAATCCATACGCATTACTCCCTAGGGCTACCAATCTGCGCAGGACAATTATTTAAACCTGTTGCAACGCACGTTAAAGTGAGCGGGAAAACAAAGATATCGATAACTTTACGTTTGAGGAAACGAAAATACGTCACTGAGGTCCCCGGATGTAGTTTGTATGAAAAATAGAGTGGTTTGATGGCTTATTTCCCAGTAAAACACTTGTAATTGTCTATAAAATTAAAATGAAATACCTAAAAATTAGTCTAATTTTAAAAGATTTATTCAGATTACAACTATTAACGCTGCGGCTTATGAGTGCCGAGTTTGTGTTGATAGAGGGATTTTTCATGCCCGTGAAAGAAGAGTCAACGTTTAATAGTCCTTAGATCAAAATCATTCCATTGTTTTTTTGTTTTACTTGTACTGTTGTTACTAATTAATATATATAATTAGAAGATATAACTAGCTAAAAACTAGTGTGAGCTTCGTCGGTGTTTCTAATGAAACAGTAATGATGAAAAGGTAAATTATACACCGCAAAAAAGATGAAAAAACTTACTAACGTTTCGGACGCTAGTCCTTCGTCGGAGTAAAAAGGACTAGCGTCCGAAACGTCAGTAAGTTTTTTCAAATAAATATACAACTTTGCCACTAATTTGGTTGAAGTCTCGGGGAAGATTGTTATACAATTTTATTGTTCTTGGGGAAAACTAGCTTGTTAGCAAACATGATCATATTGGGACATATATCCGCTTTTCCAATTGTTTACTTTTAATTTCTGCGAAGAAAAATAAGCTTACTTCCTAATTATATTACTTTTTCAATTAACGTATAGTCGGTACATAATGTTGGAAAGATTATGATTACTTTTTTAAAGCAGATGGCATAAGGCTGACTCACTCAAACGGTACGTCATCTTCTGTTTGACTGACTTTTAAAGGGTTAATACAATGAATTCCACAGAATTGGGTTGCTTAGTTTCATCTTATCAGCATCGTAGGCCTTCTCTCTACGACTCTCATAGTTTTTACTATATCAGTAAACTGGTTCTTGCAATAAGTAGTGTATCTTCGCCTATATCTGCAGTTGGAAATTGTCTAGTGATGGTAGCCATAATGAGAACTCCTTATCTTCATACACCAGATAATATCCTTGTTGGGGCTCTTGCAGTCGCCGATTGCTTAATCGGAGCTGTTGTACAACCGATGTTGATGGCAGTGATGATCAAACCAGATGTTTTTCTTCGTATTTGTCCCTTCGTAACAGCATACACACTCGTCGGGTTTGTATGTTCTAACTCCGTGTCGTTAATGGCAGCCGTCAGCGGCGAGAGATGCATGGCGCTGTTCCAGCCATTGAGGTACAGTTCTATTGTCACCAACAACAAAGCTTTCATAACCGCACTCTTGATATGGTTTGTTTGGGTCGTTGCTGGGTGTTGCTCGTGCTTTGGAGGTGTCCTCTTCACAATAGGCCAAACATTCGCTGGTATTGTTTGGTTTGCTTCGTGTATTATCATCGGTGCATCCTATATTAAAATTTGTCTTCTTGTGCGCCACCATCGCCGCCAAATCCACGCCCAGCATGCAGCCATCTCCAGCGCTAACACCAACACTGCCTCACAAGCAAAGATTGCGGTCACCATGGGTTATGTGATTGGACTTTCTCTACTCTGTTACTTGCCTACAACTTTTGTTTGTCAGATATTTTTACACCACCAAGCGGCCTGAAAACGTACTTTTTGACGTATTTTACTTACTTATAGCAGTTCAGCTGATGAGTAGCTGCTTAAACCCTATTATATACTGCTGGAGAAGAAGAGACATCAGAAAAGCTGTTGTTAATCAGCTTTGTGCCTTCTGCCAGTGGTGTGGATTAACCGTGGTCACCGACAAAGTTCAACCTTTTAAACAATCGCGAAATAACACTGATCATCACAACACTAATGCAAGCCGAACATAATGATCAATGGAAGATCAAGGAGGATGCCAATGTGATGGTTGGTTGTTGGCGCAAAACTAAAGCCTTGCTGTGCAACTAAATACTGAGCTCTCATGGTCATTCATATTAGTTGATGCCATTCAATTATTTTGTTGTGTGCAGTTTGCACTTGCTTCACGTTGATTTTCTATCGTGGTCCGTTGCATGGACTTGACTGGGAAGAAGTAAACACAGAAGCCACTGTTATTTTAACGTCCATGATCATTATCATCTACGTATGTGTAATGCCATGTGAAGAACTTATGGATCTTAAGCAGAACAAGGAGGTAACCAATGACGAGCGCGACGCGACTACTGAGAACGACCACGGAGGGAAGTGGACACAGGGATCTTTTATCTCCCTGAATCCTGTCCCTCACAATATCCACATCTGAGCTCGAGTTCATAGGTCGATTGAACGATACTTGAAATCACAATTACACTGATATAGGATAAAAAATCCCCAACACACAAACTTATTTGCATGAATATGAGTGCGAAAGCAGATATCAGGTTAAACTTCAAACTCACCAAATCCAACTATTTAGTGTGTTTAGGTCTCGCGGAAGTGGGGAACCTCCCACCCCAATGTCACCCCGCTGTCCGAGGTCCCTGAATCAGTCGTAATAATTGCAGAATAGCTTTATAAACGTCAATAAATGTGCCTTTCTTCCAGTTATTTATTTTTTTGTGACTCTGCACAACAAAGCTCCAACTGGCAGCATTGCCCGACTGCCAGACACAAATGGAGCTGTTGAATAATTATTTAATATAAGTTCCTGTGATCTTTATCCACCATCACCAGAACTGCAGACTACTTCATCATGGTACGGATCGCTTTGTAGCACCAATATATCAAAACTGAAAACTGATGTTGTCTTCCATTCCATTCTCATAGCCTGTATCGTTCGTTGCCACCATCGATACTACAGAGCTGCCGTCTTCTTTTCTGTTGTCATGGACATTCAGTCTTCTGCTCTCTCGATGGATAGTTCTGAGCTGATGCTTTATTCCTCTGCTCCGTAGACATCGTCTTCCTCTTCCCCATTGAGTGGTACAAAGCTCCATTCCTCCACTTCATCATCCTTATCGTCATCGTCTTCTGTGACCACCATCAATAGCACAGAGCTGCTATCCCTTCTCTACTCCAGTATCAGAGAAACCTTATTCTGTTTCCATCGCTGAAGTTGAACTCTGAGATACAACACGGCTCTTGTAGTCAAGAACTATCGGCCACAACCAGTCTAGTTCTCTCTCCGCTTGCTTTAATTCTTCGTCACTCCTTTCCTGATTAAAATAGTAATCTGCAAGAGCTTCGAAGGTACTTTCTAGTTCTTCAGCATTTCTCACGTGCTGGAGGTGTACAATCCTTGGAGTCGGAACCAATGTAGCTTCTTCTTCGTCAGCCTCTGCTGGTTGCTCTTTTATGATTGGCTCTTGCGCCAAAGTTCCTTCTATCTTGGGCTCTTCTCTCAGAGTTTCAGATTTTCTGCGTCTGGCCAAGAGGTTTATCTGGTTTTGATTCCTTGATTTCTTTGGCCTCCCTTGAACTCGTCTCCCTGTGTTTTCATTGGACTGCTTGGCATGTTTCTGTGACAAATCGTTTTCAATTGCTGACATGTTTGCTTGCTTCCTGACTGCCGTCTCATCTTTCTTCTTATGAACATCTTGTTCAGTTCCAAACAGGGTAGTTATTTCATCTCTGTAATACCGATAACCATAGTAACCTGCTGCAGCTATTCCTCCTACCGCCAAGGTTCCAACAATTAAATTTCGTGTTGAAAACATTGTAACAATCAATTTGATGTCTGCTTTTTTTAAAACTTTACAAACTGAACTAATCAATGAATTAAATGAATTTTCTCTATGACGTCACTCGTTACGTCATTCTTCTAATTCCGCGTAAAGTTAATCAACATTCAACAGCGATTGAAAGGCGGAAACAWTTTTTTTATATTAACTGGCCTGGTATTGAATAAAAATCAAAACCTTTTACCCTGTAACGAAAACATACTTTTATGAGCTGCCTGCCGTACTTTTCGAGTCGATAGCGATCGGTGCTAATGAAACAGCGTGCGCGCATCATGGGGTACTTAGCGATCGCTCCACGTATCCTATATAATTTAAGCGTATGTAGCGGCTCTTTGAAGAGGGGACTTTTGTAAATATTTAGAACTATTTTTCTGAAAAACCCGTTTCTTTAAAATTTGTGAAAAAAATCTCGCGAAGCAGCTTTTTAAAATGTTTTGATTCAATCGATTGCCAAATACCAGATCTAATTTTTTTACAAGTTGTGTACCATATTAAAGTGGCCGACATGTTTTTAATCTTGTTTCAGGTCAATGCAAAATTAAGATATATTTCAGAAACTGATCTTGAGGATCTTTATCGTTACTATGGTAACGTCGATGCTGATGAAATATACGCAATTGCAAACTTTCCTCCTAGTACACTCTTAGTTATGATAAGTTGATCGATTCAGAAAAGGTATGACGAATTATTTGCCGACTAAAAATCAATGAAGTTTGGTCAGGAAAAATAAACGTCTAAATGACTCTAAATTACCTCTGGGACAGTTGTACGAATGGTGGATAGAGCTACAGACAGAAAAATCTTACGCACTGTATAAATTCAATTGATAAGGATTTATCCGTTAGATGTCACTTTGGCAATTTGATAAGTTAATACAATTAACAAATGCATTTTCCCCTAACTGAACTGCAAATTCTGTTTGCAGGTTACTGTGAGGTTAACAATTCCCAACGCTCTTAGTTATAGTTTGGTGTTTTGGTTTCTGTCGACCCAAAATTACATAATCTGGTGAATGGAAACTAATGAAATAAGACAACACACCAAATAAATGCTATTTCTGGAGTCTTCTGGGTCACAGAAACATGGAAAGTAAGCCCATTAAACCTGCAGTTTCTTCTGCAAATGATTTTATTACATATTTTTATTTTTTGACAATGAGGTTCAAGCTTCAAGCCTGAGCAGGCTGAGGAGCTGCTGCTGCTCCACGTTTTTTCTGTGATTTTGCCTCTTGTCCCTCTTGGAATCCATTTTGGAAGCGACGGCGGACAATTTTCAGGTGACGCATTCTACCAGTGCCAGTTGTGCTTCTTCTCTTAGCCTTCATACTCCAGTTATCTGTGAAGGAAACAAATGATAATAATATTACAGTGGAGTGCTGTTATTTTGAACCTTCTGGGTAGCAGAAAAAAGGTTCACAATGAGAATCCCTATGGCTTGCCTTCCGGGAGAGATGTTGGTGTTCTTCAAAGTAATTGTATTTTGTCAATACTCAAGTTTCAAGTTCTCTGTTGCTCAGGGTTACCCTCAATTTTGTGCAGAATATTAATGTCTTCCAGTGAAGGTCCGTGGAATATCAAAGTGTTTATATTTTTGAAGTTGTGCATTCTTTACTTTACCGTTGGTATTTGTGAATATTTAAACACTGATAATAGGCTAACCCTGAGTAAATGAGTCTGTAATCAAGGAACACAGAGGTAATACTCCCATTTCGAGTTTTTGTCTTTTGCTCAGTCTTAGCCTTGACTGAGYAAAGAGAACTCGAAACTGGAGTATTTGGAACTCAAAACTGGGCTATTGAAGTTTTTCTGTAACTTGTAACAACTAGAGTACCCAGGAAAAAATCTTAGTAGTAATGACAACAACTACACATCAGACAGGTTTACCACTGTTTTCATTGCTATGTGCTGAATCAAGACAACAGTTGGGATGGGAAAATCGGGCAATGGTGCTAGCTATGGCTTGTTATTGCTCTGCCGACCAGAGATCAATTAGCTGATGAAAGAAAGCAACTTGGCAAGAACTGTAGAGATTTTTCTTTGCCCATGAAAGAATAGTCAGCGTAATACATAGTAGTGGACACGAATTCTATAGTTTTCTTTTGTTTTACTTTGATTGTTACTAACTAATGTTATAAAACTTTGTTTCACAGGCAAAATAAAATCATCCTACTGTGATAATGGTGATTGGCAAATTGCTGTTATTCTCAATATTCTGCAAACTTAGACATCTCAATGGCTTGTTGTGAAATTGGTTTACTGACTGATTATTTGTGATGGACAGCAACATAAAAAAATTTTCAGCATGCAGCTCACGACTATACTCTTCTAAGGATGACAACTGTTGTAACGTCACAATGGTGTTGTTTGTWAACACCAATTAGTGCTATAGACTAACGTCAATCAACAAATTTTTCGACTGTTGTCTCAATCAAGTGCGTAGCAATTAAAACAATGGTTATTCACACGTAGTGCTTGGTTGAACATGCAACCTGACCAGTTAGAATCACAGCTGTCAAGGTTAAACATTTTTCCACTTTGCCACCAAAAATCAACCAATCATAGAGCATTTTGTAATAAAGCTATTCTTCGTTTGCAATAGACATCATAGCCGCCATGTTGGAAGAATTTGACAAAAGATTTTTCAATGAATTCTTTTGTTATAACCTCCAACATGGCAGACATCCCTTTTGTATTGTGCTCTCTTGGGACTGATTGCAAACCAAGAATGCTATAGTAACGTAACATATTGTAACGTAACGTAACTATAGTAAAGAAACAGTACTGTCATCATAGGTAAATAGCAATACCCAGATTACTTTCATGTTTCTTTGACCCAGATGTCTCCAGCGTTACAAGATGTTCTCAAGTTTTGGCTTCGAACCAACAAAGAAAAATTCAGCAATTCTGATGTCTAGGTCACAGAAACATGAAGACAGCTACTGGAAATATGGCATGTCCACAATTTGGATATATGTACGCAAATATATAATCTTTGTAATTAGGATAGAATATGAACAATACAAGTTTCTTACATTTCCTGAGTTTGGCAGAGGGGAATCCACAGCCTGCGCATCTCTTCTTTTGGATGTGCCATGACTTCTTTCCACATCGCACACAAAGTGTGTGGGACTTGTTATGACGCTTTCCAAAACTGGATGTACCCTTGGTCTACGATTATTTCAGGAAAAAAAGCATTAGCCTTATGTAGTCCTCGTTCACGTGAATAAACATCTACAAAAACAATCCTTCGATCGTTACCAAATGTTTAAGTTCAGTGAGATATTTACGGTCGAAAAGATAATTGCACTTAACAAGATCTCGATGCTGCTATAAAATTACACAAAAATTGGCATGATGGTTATATACAAGCAAAAATGACTGTAGTGTATCGAATGATAATTGGTTCGTTCTACTATCGTTCATCCTCCATCTTTGTCTTTTATTATGACCATTAAAAATTATACTATATGAAAAAATAACCTGGCAAGATTAAAGTTGAACATTTAAACTAAACTCAAAGTGAGGAATTATGTCGATGAGTATGTTCAAAGCTACGATGCTGCAAGATTAAATTCACATAAAAATTCACTCACCATCTTGCAGTCAGATCGTCAAAAAGAGAGAACGGCTTGGTAACCACCCGGGAGATTTGAAGCACAGGACACAGGCAACCCACGAGGAACAAATAAGTTTTTCCTTTAAATTTCTTCGAAAGGTAAAGTAAAAAACTAACAATGAATAGTAGGATAATTTAGACCAACACAGGAGAACGATCTTAGAGATTTCTCATAAAAAAATAAAAAGCAATAACCCAGTTTGCGAATAAAAATCGAAGAAAATGAAAACTTTTCTGTGAGGTTTCCTGTGGTTTGAAGGCCCGCGATACACGCCGCTKTATTGTTTATGGTTTTCCAAGATGGCGAGAAATTGCGAAAAAAAGTTTGTCGGTTTGAATCGAATATTCCTTGAAAAGCAAAGAAAAGGTACTTTATTTAATCCTCTTATGACTAGCATTAACATTTCTTTAATATAAGTTTAATGATAAAATGAAATCTTGACATAATATTAAGCTTTTTTTCCCTCAGAGGAACTAGAAAGAAATCCCAAGCGACCTTCACTAGTGAGTTCCTGATTTTTGAAAAYATTAGAGAGATATTGCTTATGAATAATTAGAGGTGGAGGAGAAAGGAGGGTGGGGTGGGGAGGGTTGGGGGAGCCCTCAAACTAATAGATCTTTTTAACATGGACGTATTTAATTGTTTTCCAATTTCAGAACACGCATCAGTATCATTCTCTGTCTAATGGTTGTACATCAGATTTAAGACATATGTATATGGATACAACTCAAACAAAGAATTTTATTTTCAAGAGAATGACACAAATTTCCTTGCTGTAACCACTCTATTTGCCTTAATTTTTCACAATCATACAAAACTCCCAAATTATGTTTTGTTTTGATCTTTGCAGTATAAGTTACATTCTGCTTCTGAAGTAAAAAAATGGATTCCAAGTATCAAACGTGAGATGGATTACAACCTACAGGTAGGTATTCTTAGACGTTTGTAAAGTTGGCTCGGTTCTATGTGTATCTCTATTGGCAYGCGACGACAATCTTTTGTGACTCTGTCACTCACCACCTGCACTTGAATATCTTCATGGGAGAAATGATAGGTTCACTGGAGGCTCCTCTCAGTCTGTCTTTTCTTGTCTGGGCTTCCTGTGGAGGATGTCATAGAATGCAAATAATATTATAGAAACAGGTAGCCCACCAATAGGAAAAACAGAATAGAGAACTGAGAAGTTAAATTTTTATGCATTTGATAAATATAAACAGATGATGCATGCTTGAATAGGATATATTATGTTACATCTGTTAGTATTAATAAACAGTTTCATATTGGATCTAGCAACTCTCTGGTGCAAGGCAGCATAAATACCCTGACCACAAGATACAAGAATTCCAAGAAAATGTTGAAAGGCTTGAAAAAGAATACAAAAGGTATATAACAAATGGTTTGGAGATTCTTTAGAAAGTTTCAGTAAAGGGCATTGGGCTGGGACAAAGCTGGAAGGGAAGGGCTAGGTGGTTTGTGCAATAGACCCCTTGCATTAATTTTCTAGAGGAATTGTTTTGGGGACAAAACAATAGGCCATCTTTTCTTATACAAAAAAAAAATTTTGTCCCCCAGAACCATTCCTCTCAGGACTCAAGGAGTCCAAACACATTACCACAATCAAATCCTAAAAATAATATATCCATAAACCCTGTAGTAGCCAGGGGGAAATGTATTCCCTTTTTCAACTGGAGTTTTGTTTGTTTCCTTTTCTAGTTTTGTTAAGAAAGTTTTTGAGCTTGACCCAAGTACCACAGGTATCCCATGGCAGCCAAGGGGATATGTGAGTAAAAGAAAACAAACAGGAAGCCCAAACCCTGTTGTGCCGAAGAAGATCTGTACTCCAATATTAGATAATGAAGTAAGAACATTGGCAAATATTATAAATTTAAATTATACATCATCAAACTAATTTTTCTTGGCCTCTAGCATTCCTGTTACTAGAGCCTGCACTATTGCCTTCTTCTGGCTGGCAATAGTGCAGGCTCTGTGAATGAGCTTGGGCCTCTAGAGATCAAAATGTTTTCTCTCCAAAAAAGATTAGCTTGGCAAAAAAATATATATATATATGAAATATTGATCATTTTTCACAAAACATAAAAAACTAATACTTGGGAAATATGTTCAAATTTTGATTCCATATATTCACTTCCATTACTTCCTTCCAATTTACCTTAAAATTGATTTCTCTAAATTTCAATGTAGAATATGCATGAAGGAATGGCAGAATTGGATTGTCAATCCCATTCAGAACTAGATCAACATGTCAAGATAGATAAACAAGAAACAGCACTATCAATAAAACGACCTATGCAAACAACAGAAACGGCAGAAGCAACAACAACAGCCACAGCAGCTATATCAACAACTTCGAAGAGCCAAACTGAAAAGGTGAATAAATGGAAACTTTAGAACTTTCAAAAGAAATCTCAATTTCATATCAAGGTAAAAAAAAAAAGAATTCATATTTATTTGATGACTCCCAACATTTGCTTTCAGGATTTCAAGAAAAATGCTGGGATGAGACAAGAACTAGGAAACTCAAGGTAATCACTGTCATTTTTCTTTTTTTTTTTCTTCTTCTTCTTTTTTTCTTTTTTTGATATCATAAATTGAGTAAAATTCTAGTAAAAATATAATGTATTTTATTTTATAATTATTTATTTTTGTTTTGTCTCTTAGTATTTTAGGATTAGATTACTCTTCATCTGATGACGACTGAATTCATACCACACTATTAATATTGAACTTTATAAAAAAGAAATCTGATGGACTTGAAGCAACGAATAATACATCGCAAAAGATCCATGCTGAAACAAGGGTTTTTCCCTGAAGCCAAAATAGAAACAAGATGACGTCATTTGCCATGTTGGCAAAATCGTCGTGTGTATAAACATGTCGATTATTATGCAAATATTATGTAGTCGTATGATATATAAAACTATAGGAAAAGACCCTACTTATTTATTACTGACCCCACGGCTTAGAGAATCTTCTCCAAAATATAAGAATTGGACTAAGATCTAGAAAACTTTTACGAGAATCCTTAGAGAAAATAGAGGAAAAGATAAATAATGAAGGACATCGATGAAGAGGCTGTTCCTTCCGTAGAGTTCAACTTCGACAACATTATTTCTGCAGCAGCATATTCCGTAAGATATATAACTAAACTAGGCCAGATTTCTTTTGAGGAGACTACTATGAGGGAATTAACCGTACAGCCATCGAAAGCAACCACGGACTACAAGAAAACCATCGTGGTACGAGAACCGTCGATGATGGAATGCCGTTTCCGAGACTTACCCGTAAGTGTGCTGAAATATGTCTTGCATCTCTAGAAGAATTTTAAAGTATTGCCTTACTAGATTGCTCTTAATTATATTAAGACTTTTTTATTTTTATTTTCGAAAGATACCCCCAGGTTTAAGATTTCAGCATATTATGAGTGTTTATGACTATACGAACGATTATTTGTTTATTTTTTCCTAATCATAAAATCCACGTCTAAAACACAAATTTTATTACCAAAGATACACAAAAGAAAAGGAAATCATTTTATTCCGTTTAGAAACTTCGCTGAAATGTTCATTTGGCATATTCAAGAGGGGTGGGGGCTGCTGTTCAGCCAGTATATAGCTTCCTTTTTTAGATTTTACTTGAATTTCTTTGCACTTATTTCTGAACTTCAAAGGGGGTGGCTAGCCACACACACACACTCCTTTCTGGATCAACCATTGAGAGCAACTTGCTAAGATGTAATTTTAATCTCCCTCTTATTATGCAGGTGAATCTCCAACTGTTGATCTTCTCTTACCTTGATGCAAGAACATTATGTAAAATAGCCCCCACTTGCAAGTACTGGAAAATGTTAAGCGAGGATAAAGTCCTGTGGGCCCAGCGCCTTTCAACAGACTTGAAAAAGTGGAAATGTATTGGTCACATGACCTATCCACCTACATACCTTGAGACTAATACAGACCTAACAACAAAAGAAATGTAAGTACTGTAAATGTGGGGGAATTATAGCCTAGGATGTATACACACAACCTCTTGCTCACCATGTTTAAGGAATTCAAGGGGCTGTGTAGTAACAGTAGTGCAATTGCCTTTAATCTTGAGATCCTTAGTCTCAATCACTGGTTTTTCTCTTCTTTTGCGGTTTTTCTCCCCCCCCCCCCCCTTTTTTCAGTGACTTCAATTCATTTTTTCTACTACTTTCCATGGATTTCTCTGGGTTTTTTATAGGATGCCAGGGTTATTAGTGTATACACATTTATTTTGATATCTCATTTTTAATTTTTTTTCTTTCTTAGATACCTACGATGCTGTCCAAGTTGTCAATCACTATGGCAACCCAAAACCAATGCCATGAGTTCTTTTGCATCAGTATTTCTCAACAATCTTCAAAACATACCCAATCTATTCACCAAGAAGCCTTTAAAAGTAGTAATGTTTGGTCCTGGACTAGAGTCTGAAACCAAGTCCCTGACACAAACAATATTATGGGGTACAAAGTCACCATTCCAAGTAACAGGCTTATTTGCTGGAGAGTTTGAAGGTAAGGATTCCAGAAGTGCATGGTACTTACAGAAATATCTCTGAAAGTACTGAATTATATATAGACTGAGTGAAGTTTATGATACATTGTGATACAAGTTTCAAAAGAAACATTTAATGTGTTTACCTCTCCTGGGTGGACGGCTTGTTGCCTAACAGGCCTTGCTAAAGTTTAAAATGAGTTACATATTAGAGTGAATTTACTGGGCCCCTGAAGCTAAGTTGTATAATTAGTGAATTAACAGTAAAAGCAAAAATAAACATTACAACTTAAAAGTTCTATAGAGGCTTTGCACCATCACATGATGGCAGCCATGACAGGAGGCAGGAAATTGAATCTGGTCTAATCTGATCTAAGAAAGAATTCAGTTTCCCAGGGGGAAAATGCTCTCTTGTTGTGCCTCTTGTCATGGCTGCCATCATGTTATGGTGCAAAGCCTCTATAGCTAGGTGGAACATGTTTAAGTGCATGGGATAAAGGACTGATCAATAGTTTAACATAGGTTTAACATTTTGTTTTTTGTCAAGGAGTTGGGTCTGGAGTGTGCTTGAAGTTAAAGAAAAGTAAAGTAGAGTTGAATCTCATCACTTTGTATGGATCTACAAGGTTTGTTAAACATGTTAGGTCTGTTTTTTATAGATAAATTTTTATAGATTTTTCATTATCTTTTATTTTAACTTCTCTCTAGTGTCAGAGTTTGTAAGAGATTCAATGCATTGTAGAAAGCTCCTAATCCACTCATAATTTTCTACTTCACTCCTTTAATTTGTTCTATGGTATAAATCTTTTTAAGAGGAAATTTTTTTCAATAATGAGCAATACAGTAGCAAAAAGCACCAAAAACTAGACCTTCGTATGAGTTTTGATCCCAATTTTCGTTTTGGGTTAACACTCAAAACCTTTATTAAACATTACTTAGAAACTGATGTACTATGATAAAATGCCTGTTTTAAGCTCTATTTTCAATTGTACAAAGATGTTTTGTTGCATTTGTGTTAGAATGTAGCTTTGTCAGGCTTTTTTATAGAAAATGTATGGGAAATAAGCAAATGAAGGCCTAAACCTCATTTTCTATTCAAATTTTCGCTTTGGGTTAACACTTTGATTCCACTTTCATCGGTCATCTCCACTTCCAAACAAGTTAAACTTTCCGAATAACAAGATTTTAGCCTTGTACAACAGCCTTTCTTCAGGAAAATAGTTTTTGGCACTCACCACTTGAATAGGAAAAGAATTCTCTCTTAATATATATTATTTCCTTTCAATAGTGCCGAGAGAGAAAGGAATGCAAGAGAAGGGAAAGAAAGAGTTAGTAAGCTACTAGCAGAAAAAGACAACCAAGACGATGACAACCATGATGACAATGCTCAACCGTCTGCACAAGTTGAAGTTAGCCACTCTGTCAAGGAACTCTGTAAAACTGTAGATGCTTTTATTTATGTAGTTAACTCATCTACAGAGATTCGTAGAGGKAAGAACAAGAAAAGAAAGCAAGAAAAGCCACTTAAGTTCATGCTTTTTCATTTTGCCACATACTTTTACTCCACCCTTTTTACCATGCATGCAATATATCTGACCTGATAAGGGTCATGGGTGTGGCCTATGGGTGTGGCTCATGCTTTGGTAGTAAAAGTCATAAAAAGCATTGATCAAAAAAAGCTTGCCTATCATGAAAGCGCTCTATTTTGGGATTGGCTTCTGTGAGTGTGTTCAGTTGGTATACTTTCTTTCTGACGAAGGGATGGTCCAAGTCAAAGAAACTAGAAAAACTGTTCTGCTTAAGAGGTTAGGGACTCCACCTCCAAGGTACATAGGTGAACATTTTCAGTTACTGATTATATTTATTCAAATTTTCAGTGGATTCAGAAAATCAAGAACTAAATGCTGTAATGAATGTCAACTGGTCAAGACCAAGGGTACCCCTGTTAGTATTATCTTGTGTGGCTACTAAAGAATCACAATCATTGTCCTGTGCTCAAGTTGTGGAGTTACTGAACATGACACAGTTAAATAGACCTTGGCAGGTAAATACAATGCATCTAGCTTTATCATTCAGTGAGAACATTAAGTTACATGAAAACCGTGAGACGATACGTGGGGAAAACACATAATTTATGATTGGTGGTAGCATACGCTAAATCAAAATATGGCTACCAATTTGAATAAATATTGTAAACTTTAGCCTTTCATTCAAGTGAAAATGCTGTTATTTTTSCATGTGAACACAAGGCTAGTCAGTCCAGGACAACAATAATTAGTAAAATTGGTCACCATACATATTTCAATTTGCGTATGATGCACTGGCATTAACAGAGGATTCTGATATTCTGTAATAATTTATAAAGTATGGGGCTCTCTGAAAAGATAAACACTATTTTATTTGCATCGGTGAGTGTGAAAGGAGATATYGAGGTTAGCCTTATCGTGAATATCTCCTAGGATCAAATTAGAATTTAGTAGTTGGTTTTTGCAGAGGGAGGAAAGCCGGAGAACCCAGAAAACCCTCAAAGCACAGGAGAGAACCAACAAACAACTTAACTCACATACGACACTGAGCACATCAGTACTCGAACCTGGGTCGCATTGGTGAGAGGCGAGCGCTCTCATCGCTACCCCACCCATACTTCCCATAGGCAGCTGACTGTTCTGTACTACATTGATATTAATGATTCCCTACTGTTTTTGACATAAAAATAACCAGAGGTTGGAGGTGAGGTATGTGGCGATTGACAGCCAGTAGCAGCCCCTTCTATTGAATCCTCTGCATTAACCTATTTCAACTTTTGTTTTATCAATTTATTGTAATCAACTTTGTTCTTTGACCCACTAGGTAAATTCTGTGTGCGTTGAGAACTTAGATGGATTTCTGGATGGAGTTTCATGGCTAGTAAAACAAGCAACATGAAACATCAACAAGATAGATCAACAAAAATATAATGAACTTAATAAATATGCATACCTCAGCTCACTACTCCAAAATTAGAATAATTCTAAAATGCCTTAAAAACAGTGTTTTAATGATGTGCAAGTCATAATAATTTTCAAGTTTGAAAATGTTTTTTTTTCTTCTGTAGATCATATTAGCTGTAAATACATGTACAAAGATCACTAAATATAATTGTGAAATATCAACAAAATTAATATTCAGAAGATGAAAATATTATGTAAATATTTGTTATGGAATGTTAAACATATGTAAATTAAATTTTAAAAAAAACATGATTGTATTATTCTCATTACTTGTTTCTTCATGGCTTAAAGTTTAGAAAATGTGGGTTTTTCCTTGGCCATTTCTGCTTGTACAGCTTTCATGATGTCCTCTGTTTGTAGCATTGACATGTTCCATGTTGCCTAAAAACAGAGTTTCATGATTTTTTTTATTGGTTCACTAATGACTTCAAATATGAACCTTAATTAAGTGTGGTGTATGGGTGTGGGGGAGGGGTGGGTACAGTTGAAACAGTATGTTTAAGATAAAAACTTAAAGTTTTGGGGTTGGCACTTGAAAACTTAGTGGATATTCGTAGGGGGTATGCTAAAGCTCCCAGCCCCTTACCCTTCATAAATCATTAATTTTAGATACTTCTTACCATATAATTGAGCCCCTCCTCAACAGAATGATCTCTAGAGTAGTTCAGATTATGCTTTGTTCCCATCACTGCTACTGGGCTCTTACTTGCTATCTTTGACGCCATGGCTGTCGCAGCTGATATTAGGCTCTCTTTATCTGGATATATATGACTAGAAATTAAAAAAATTAATTTAATTGTAAATAATAATTCAATGTATACATAGTCTGCTTGGCAGATTTCTATGGCGACAACTTATGTTTATTGTGATTAAAATGACAGTGTGACTGCACTAACCAATGTAAACTGTGATTGACAGATCAGCATAAAATAAAAATAATATAAATAAAGATACCTGACAAGCCCTGCCTCTTTTGCTTCGTTAGCTGGTAATCTTCTTGCTGTATAGCTCAGCTCTCTAACAAGGCTGCGGTTTTGATATCGTATGTCAGTATAAGCCTTTTCATAGTTTAAGAATCGATTCCACTGCACATGCRATTTTATCCCGAATTTCTACTTTCTTTTGTCTAAACCTTCTTTTGTTCTTAATTAAACAAAAGAGGGTGAGAAATTCGGGATAAAATCGCATGCACAGTGGAATGGATTCTTAAACTATGAAAAGGCTTATTACAGGTATTTATTGATTCGTTTTATAAATTTAAATGTTCACTAATAAATATCTATTGCATAAAATATTTTGTTCTTCTACATGTAAACCTTGCTCATTAGATCTGTGTACCCAGCTATGAATCAAGTAGGATTGACCAATGATAATAATAATAAGCTTATTTGTTTACCCATGGAGCTACAATCAATATACAAATATTATTACATGTTAAGAGCCTGATATCGTTTTTTTTTTCACTCTTTTTCCATATATCATATAGCTCACTCGCTTGCGATATGATATGAAAACTCGTTAATAAAAATAATATCAAGCTCTTAATATATATATATAAATACAAAATAAAGACATATTCTCATCAATACATATAAATAGGCAAATAAACTGGTTTTCATTTAGGCCATGCTAATGAAGGCTGATGAGGAAGAAAAAATGAACTTTGTATATTTTTGCCTCATATCCTATCTCACTTATTTTTCATACCTGTCATTTCCTACGATTTTAGGTAATCTCTGCAGAGTACCCACATCAGCAGCCAACCCAATATCTACTTCCTGGGGGAATAAAGTAATAATAACTTATTTCAAAAATGTTGGTGCAACATTTGAAAACCAAGACGTAAAATGATGCAAAATGTGTACTGTATTTGTAGAAAACCCCAAACCCTTTCCAAGATTTCCAAGGAATTGTAYTGGGGGACAAAAAAAATAGGCCATCTTTTGTTATGCAAAAAAATCCATCATTTTGTCCCCCAGAACATCTCCTCTTGGGACTCAGTCCAAGGGGTCTACAGTCTAATATATCTTCCCTTAGAATATTTTTCAGAAATGCTAATTGTTCAATCCTGAAAAAAATTATCAGTAATACATTCATTTTTTTTTTCTTTACCTTAATTTGAAACCATGCATCTGATGAACAAAGTCTTATATCACAGGCACAAACCAARTCAACCCCACCCCCAATGCATGCTGAATGAATAGCAGCTATCACAGGCTTTGGGCACTTTTCTATCACAGAGAAACTCTCTTGGTAACTAAGGATAATTTTTCGTAATTCAGCAGCTTTTCTTGCTGCATCAGCATTTTCTGGTCCAGCCTGCATGAACACACCTGCCATATCCATTAAATCCAAACCTATGGAAATATTATTACGCATCAAAATATATATAAATACATTTATTCATAAAATATAACAATCTTTGAAGAAAAAAACGTATTCTCTGGTAATTTCGCTTTAAGATAATATAACATATCATAATCGGAATGAAAAGTGCATACCCTAATAAAATAATAATAACAAATAATAACTAACCTGCTGTGAATATCTTTCCAGCCCCAGTGACTACAACCRCACGACAGTCAGAATCATTGGTAATCTTATTAAAGCACTCAACCATTTCCCTGTTGAACAATTTTCATGTGTTGATAATTTARACTAATACCCCATTCACACCAAGGCTTAAACATGTTTTAAAGTGGTTTAACTAAACAGGTTTGGAAAACTATCTACGAACACTGCACAATATTTGGTGAAATAATGCATGTAAACTATCCTTTGTCTTGCTCTGACAATATTTTAGAAAGTTTCATTATATTGTAGGTTTCTAGTTACTCAATTTTTTTCCCAATGAAAACATAGTTTAACTAAACACGTTTAGGTGTGAATGGGGTATAAGATGCCTAGAAACATAATTATGATATTTTTGACACATATTGGCATGAAAATATAATAAAGAAAAAATATAAAGAAAATTAATAGATATTTTTTTCTTGGACATAATGTTTTCTTATTCAGACCACATTTCATTTTCTCGAGAATAAGATTCTTTGTTTGAGTTGCATCCATATTCATGTGTCTTTATATGCGCAGCCATTAATTGAACGTGGTCTGAAATGGGAAAACATTCCGCCCAAGCCAAAAAGGTCTATTATTACCTCCAGAATGCTTGGTTCATAGCGTTTCTTTTCTCTGGTCGGTTGAGCTCCACCCGGAGAACATGGTCAGCAGGTTGGGAGACAGCAAGCGTTTCGTATTTATAGGAATCTGTACTACACATTCTTGTTTTGTTGAATATAATACTGGGGACAGATGGGTAGGATTTGGACCTCAGTGCTACCAATGTTCTGTTTGACAGACCAGCTATATTATCAAATAAAGCGTAAAAACTTATAAATTACATAAAGTAAATAATAGTAATAATAATTTATTAGAATTACACAATGCAATAAATTGAACAAAGAACAACAGTAATAACAACAATAATAACAATAATGATGATGTTGATGTTGATGTAAGAAAATAAAGGCATCTTCTTGAATTAAAAAAAATTCGTTGAGTTTGCTTACTTGATATATATTTGTTTTAAAAATCAAAACAAATTAATTCTATACCAAGGAAAAATAAATCATGAAATTATAAATATTTGCGCACGACTGTTAAATAAAAAAATTACCCTTTAAGTGAATCCCTAAACGGCTGAAGATGTTGACCATAGTTTTAACGTCTAATACTTTCAGTGAAGCGTAATTTTAACAAATATTTTGAAAGTTTTGTCTCAAAACTGGTTTACTTTCCTTCACTATTGGTCGCCATCTTGTATGCAGGCCCGCGGTATCACAACCAGCGGTAAGTGTCTCGTTACCAGACCTCTACCAAGTACACGGCCACTATGGCGGACGAAGTCTAAATTTTAATATACCGTATTGGGTTTTTCTACTATGTTTGCAAGAAGCAAACTGGTCCGAATTTTAGCCTTTGGTGATAGCTTAACGCAAGGGCATACTTACCAGCTAACTCATTTTCATCCATACACGCATCGTCTCCGTCAGTTGTTACAGGAACATAAGTCAGTCAAGTTTGACGTGGATAATGCTGGTATCACTGGAGAGTTTGTACGGGACCAAATGACGAAGAGATTGCCCCTTTTACTGAGGAAAAATGGTCCCTATAATTTGATTATCATATTAGGTGGTACCAATGACCTTGGGGATTTTAACCCGGGCGAAGAAAAAGCTCTCTTCAAAGAGATAGTCAGTCTTCATGATATTGCCCACGAGCATGGGGCTAAAACATTACTGCTTACAATCCCAGAGAGTGATTACATTTTCAAAGACATGGGAGCAAATGGCACGTCTTATATCAAAGAGGATGGGGAGAAAGGAAGGATTCTGATTAACGGAATGCTGCGCGATTTTGCAAAGGAAAATGATGACGTAACGTTGTGTGATCTTGATCAGGAGCACCGTCACACCAATCTCAAGGAGGAAGAAAAAGTTAAATATTGGGATGACGGTCTGCATTACACCCCAGAAGGCTATGACAGGATGGGTGAAATAATATTCGAGAAGATAAAGCATTTGTACTGGGAGTGAATTTTTTTCAAAAAAAAATGCACACTAAAATCAAAAATAATAAACAAATAATATTTCCAAAATTTGAACGCTATTTAATTCGATTTTTATCACTCCCTTTTCAATCATCCACTCAATCATATAAAGTCTAATTGCAATTTTAAACTTTTAAAAAATTAAATAATTGTATCAATTTACAAATATAAACTCGTACAGACTCCTGTATGTATAATGGGTTGCAGAAGCTCTCTTGCTCCAGTGCTTTGAGGGTTCATTGTGGTCTCCTTCGGCACTGGAGAAAGAGGTCTCTCTGGCACCCAGGGTAACTGTCTGATGGAAAATGAAAGTAAAAAATGCTTTTACAATTACTTTGGTAATCATGTATGCAGAAAAACACCATTACCACTGTTTTCATTACCAACTAGTGCTGACTGCGATCAGTGTATAGTGTCGTAGTGAAGGGCACATTCAGGTATTTGTATGTATATAGAGATATCATGCATCACTTCAAAAAAGCATAATAATTATGGCATAATGAGGTGTTCGGTGCACTGCAGGACACCCCTGGATCTGCCCCTGCATGGAGTAAGGACACCTCCTGGTCAATTCTGGTGGCAATTAAGCAAGCTGCACAATGGGATCCTGATTGGATTGCTCTTTCTAATGACCACAAAGGGCCTTTTMATTTGACAGATTAATCCATAGCAGGGACAGATTCAAAAAACTCCTAAAGTGGAGTTGCATTGGCAGTCTTGACAAGATAGTGACTGACAATGTTATACCTAATGCATCAATGTGTGCAGGGTGTCAGGAGCCACACATTCTTTAGAAAAGAATCCCTAACAAATAACTTTGGCTCTCTGCTGATCTACTCTTTGAAGTAATATTTCAAACAAGCGAGAGAGTTCTTCCTCTGATTTCCAAACACCGAAAAGTGAGTTGAAAAAGCGAGGCGCAGCCGAGTTTTTTTAACTGACTTTGAGGTGTTTGGAAATCGAAGGAAGAACTCTCTCAAGTGTTTGAAATTACTTCTCAAACTAATGAATATTTCTTGGAGAAAATWWAAAAAAAAGTTCACGAAATTTAATGCAAATTAAGAACACATTTCCAAACCACCGTCACAGTAGTGATTTGCTTTGTTTTCTCCTCATTAAATATTCATGAGTATGAGAAAGCCTCTTCATCAACTGACTTCTAAATATAAGGTTAGGTTGTCCTTTTTTTTTTTTCTTTTTTTTTTTTTCAACGACATTAAATTTCTGAATGACTAAACCGCATTATCATACAAGTCTTCATAGACAGAACTTATAGACTCATTGAACACATCACGGTGGGTACGGCCTGTGTATAAAGCCTTTTGGTTAGACCAGTAGTTTCCTCTAGACAATGGTACCGTCACACTAGAAAAAAAAAAAAAAGAAAGAAAAATTCAGTAAAAATATTGCAACATGATCTGCAACTGATTTTATTGTATTCCGAGATTTAAAGGTTATTTTATTGAGGTTTAATACTTTATTTTTAAGCATGCAGAGTTATTATTGAGTTATTATTACCATTAATTATATTACTTAATAATTTAATGATTGCCAATATGTATACTGCAAGGCTCTTTATTTCTGTCTAAGTAGAGAAAGTTCTGCTTTTCCTATCTACAATATAAAATTTGTTCACCTTATATGAAAAGAAATGACAAGTACTTTCAGTATCGCTGTAGGCTGAAATTAGGTAAAATTAGAACTCTTTAGTTTAAAATTTTTGATGATAAACAAATGAATCTGAAATTTTTAATATAGAAGGCAAACAACTTAGTGTACAGCAAGGATGAATTTTGGTTTTTGCAGGTGATTCAATGTAAATATGGCCTCAGACCACAATGGATGTTCTGCTATTAGGTAACAACATTATTCTTATGCACTTGTTATTGTAATAATTATACATTTACAATAATACATAATAATTACTAATAATAATACATAATAATAACCTTCGATCAAGTCTAGTTCCAAGTGTTGGGTGGTCAGGATCTTCAAATGATCTGTCTAGAGACTCCATTCTTGCAGAATCAATTTCACTCCTGTGGACGCATGCAATCGACTATTCAGAAGGAGATCTCAAGAACCATATTGAGACCACATATATATGTATAGACCTTAGACCTGAATAATTAGTGGATATAAATAGACCCTTTTCGAGTTCCAAATTAGCGCTGTGTTTCTTGATTACAGACTCATTTACTCTGGCTAAGCCTCAAATCAGTGTCTAATTACTCGCAAATACCAACGGTAAAGTAAAGAATGCACAACTGCAACAATACAAACACTTTKAAACTTGATGGACCTTGACTGGAACACGTGRATATTCTTCACAAAATCAAGGCTAAGCCTGAGTAAATGAGTCTGTAATCAAGAAACACAGCGGTAATTTGGAACTTGAAAAGGGTCTATTAGCAAAATGTTGGAAGACAAAAATCCCCAGCCCCTCCCTCCACAGTCCCTGTGTTTCAATGCACAACCACTTTTTGCAAAACACATAATTGGTATATCACTTGCCTGAGTTCTTGTAAAGATAACAAACTATCATCATCTGAGTCAGACATCTCAATGTAAGATCTGTATGCCTGAAAAAAGAGATTACATCAAAAATTAGCTAGCAATATCTTTTTAAAATATAAAAATCCAGGATAACAATGTTAAACTTTAATGTTGTTTTTTTTGGTTTACTCACAGGTTTTGGTGAGTGTCTACGAATAATTCTCTCCACCCGTTCATGAATTTCATCTGGAGGGGGTACTGCTCTAAATGAATCATTTATAACTTTGGGTGTCGATGAGAACCGTAATCTTGTTCTTGGTATAGGTGCACTGTATGCTCTCTCATGATATGCTGGGCCAGTATCTCGTTCAAAATATTGCCGAGACCTAAGTATCGGTGGTTCAGAAGCTGCAGAGGAGTAAGTTGGAACAGATGTGGTTCGTCTGTGTTTACCCAAAGTAAATCTGTGCTTCAGGAAGTCCCTTCCAAACACTTTGTAGTAGGCTTGACAAACTATGCAGTCTTTGTGGGGAGTCTTACAGTCAGGGCAAGGCACTGAAATTGAAAAACAYAAGCAACAAAACAAACTTGTTGTTAGCTCACATAGAGTTATTATTACATGTACCTGACAAACCAAATGGAACAACCTTGGAGGGGGAGAGGTTGGGTAGCACTTATGACCAACCCAAGTATACTTAAACAGTGTTTTATGGAAAAATCTACAATCCTGGACGAAAGTATTGGGACAGCAACATAAAATGACATGAAATTGTTCTTTTCTCCTCTCCCCCCCCCCCCCCCCCTAATGAATGTTGGGGCAAATGGGGCATTTGGCATGATGTGTGGTTTGACCAACATTAGGTTTGGGGGGGGGGGGGGAGGGAGCTTCATTGGTGAAATGACGTGTAAACATTGAAAAATAATGGATATTAAGTGACAATATTTAAAAGTTTTGCGCTGACTTTGTGTCCCAATGACTTTTGTCCAGGATTGTAAATTACATTCATTGAATAATAAAATCTAAATTACAAACACTGAATAAAAGAATCCATGGTGAGCCATAAATAATGTAAGCCAAAGCAAGTGGATTTTTTCAAAATGATCTTTACTTGGATTAAAGCCACACCTTTCAATCATGCATGATGTATAAAAAATACAATTAATATTTAAAATAAACTTACTTGGATCTCCTTCTGCAGGTAGAGGTCTCAGTCTAGATTTCTTCGAACGATGAAATTCTCTTTTTGATATTATACCCTCATCAGCTTTACCAGCCCTGAAGGGTGGTTGTCTAGTTGGGGAAGCAGATCGTGGCCTAGATCGGTTAGGTGACAATGACCTGGACCTCTTAACAACCATTCCTTTATTTTCTGGTCGTCTCGGACACTCACACACACAGTGAACTTCGTTGAAGGGTGGGCTAAAAATGTTTGGGTGGATGACAACTTCTTCCTCTGTTTCTGACTCTTCAGAATTAGACTCCTGAAGTAACAACATTAATGACATTTTATTATACAGAAATCAGTTAAACTTTGCTGTATTTAGTTGTAGAACTTTGAAACAGTTTTGTTACTTTGAGGACACACTACGGCGTAAAGTTTTAATCATAGACCCACCTCTGAGTCTTCTGAAGCATATTCATTACTTGCTTGATACGATATCCCTCGCACAGTGACTTCTTGTACAGTGGTTCTTGAAGAGAATTCTAACTTTGGATCAATACCCTGAAAGCAACATTAACCATTTCAGAAGACATAATTTAAAATATATATATAAAGTTCCATACTCTCTCTTTCCACATGCAAAGTACAAAATACTAGATGGACTCATAGTATGGGTGGCATAGTGGTTCACCACTCATCTCTCACTACTCTGGTCCAAGTTCAAGCTCTGGGCTCAGAGTGGATTATATGTAAGTTGAGTTTGTTAGATGTGTTGATCTCTCCCTTGCCACGAGGGTTTTCTTCTGATTCTCCTGTTTCCTCCCTCTGTAAAAATCGAGATGTGAGTTGAGTGTTGTATGTCGTAAATATAGAATGTAGTGGTAGTGCGTGTGGAGGATACCTCATAGAAAAGAGTGGTGGTTGTAAAATATTTATAAAGGAATTTTCTTTTTAATATGAGGGTAGTAATGAAATTGTTGGTAATACGTCTGTGTGCATTATAATCATTAGAATTTAAGTCTTACATTGAAGTTGACAGTCCTACTCAAAAGTAGATCTCTCTCGATACCACCCTTGCCTGTCAGGGTAGGGGTAGGGTACAAGAATTCTTTGGTTGTCTGTTTATACCGTCCAAGAAGCTTGCCTCCTGAAAATAAGGAGTTTCAGTCTTTAAATTATTCATAAACAATAAATTCTAAAAGTAATCTTAGCAGAATTCCAAGTTTTAACATGAAAATATCATTCCATGGGTTCATACCTCTATGATGCTCTGAGTATTGCCGTAATTCTAATACCACAAGTTGTTCTGTGAAACAGATAAAATTATAATCTTGTTAGTATAAACTTATTGTAAAATATCAGCAGATATTTTGTATAAATCATGTGAGACCAAAAACAGATCAAAATTTCATTTTTCATCTTCTAATCGTAGTTGATTATTTAGCAAAGAGTTTGCTTTAGTTAATGTTAAAGCGTGTACTCGTTAGACGTACACTAATTTTATTAATTAACTTAYTGTTTACATGTAAACAAATGGGAAAAACAAATGATAATGTGAAGTTTGTTCATACCATCTAGTAACTCTACTACTTGCGACGGTTCAGACACCGATGTGAACGTCTAAGAAAAAGAAAAATACAGTTAGAGAAACTAAAAATAAAGCAAAGATTTACTTTTCAGGTTTAATAATTAATATTAGCATCGTTGTTTTCAATTAGAATTTGAAAGAACACTCGATCAACTTACTTGTTCAACGGCGAAACGCTCATTGAAGTTCATTGGAAAAGAAGCGAACACCGACTTTGTCCTATTGGTTTGACCAAACAGTTTGACGTTCAGAAAGACCATGTTTCGGTCCGTCAGGTGTAGAGTTCCAGGACATGTTACCTGTGTAAAGAAGAATGAGTATTCATAAACGATCAACAAACGAAAGAGAAAGAAAAGGAAGGTGAAACAGTTCGAAGAAATTCTAAGGAACACGCGACGCACAAAACCAAAAAAAAACGCTACTTTACAAGGGTTTTACTGTCTTACCGTGTAGAGATCTAGTTCTACGTTGCAGGTGAAAGCTTTCTGAGGCATTTTTACAGCGACTGGCGTAGAAGAATGTGTATAAAATAGAGTTGTTTTGAGTCAACAACAGCTGAGTGCTGCCAGGGACGCCATCAAACACGCGCACTCAGTTACCAGGCTATTCTCTAGAACTAACAGTAACGCCTGGGATATGTAGGATACCACAGGCATCCCAGTTACTTGATGCATGTCATTGAGAAAAGGGGATGGGATTGATGAAAAAGAGAAAGAAACAAAGGAAGGAAGAAAGGAAGAAAGAAASAAACAAACAAAGAACTAGAGGAGAGAGAAAAGAAAAGAATGACGTGAAGAAGAAAAAAGAAGAAGCGTCTCGAAGTGAGTTAATAGAGTCACTGACAATGAAGAGGTTAAACAGTTTTACAGCTGTTCGCCGCTAATGTGAAGCAAATTGATTGTTTTCGATTTCTTTAAGACTTTCCCAGCTGGCCGGCTACATGTATTTTATGTTGTTTTCGTTATCATTAATCATTCATTCGAGTTTAACAGTTAACAAATAATAAATTCAATTCAAAAATCACTAAGAGCTGAGGAATTGAAAGTCAGATTTCATCATTTATCGTGATCATCCCGCCTTGCTCGGTCGTGCATTCATGATCAAGATGATCCTTATTTCAATCCTTGCGTTACTACATTCTAGTACCATTGCTTCGGCCCAAAAAATGTGCTCAGGATTTGACTTCACTCGGCACATTGACTACCGTTTAGAATGTGGGATTTTCAGAACTCTGGTCGCAGACCAAATCAAATGCCAAAAAACTTGTGTCGATACTTTACGTTGCTTCTCAGTGAACGTATACCGACTAGAGAACGGAACTAACATTTGTGAGCTAATAAGGAAGTCGAAAGATTCTAGAAGAGAAAGTGCTTGCTTTGTCAAGAAATATGGAACTGAACACAACGAACTTGTGGTGAGTAGTTTGAGGAGGGTTTCGATTCATTGTCATCGTTTTGAGGGAGAAAAGCCTCACCGGCCAAGATTTACTTTAAACACACTACCACGAACTATATATAGTGCACTCGCCTTTTATCTATGGGGTCTCGAGCGACTTCGATTCCTGGACACAGCATCATATGAGAGTTYGTTAGGTCTCTCCCTGGCTTGATTTTTCTCCGGGTTCTCCGGTTTTCCTAAATCCACAACCTGACTTTAATCTTGGTCAGCCCACGGGTTGTTTAGTTATGGTTAAGTTACTAGATAACGATAAACCTTGAAGGTTTAGTCTCGGCTATTATATTGCAAAATCTGCAGTTCGCTGAATTGTGTGCCTGTCCTGTTGAAAATGAAAGCTATGCATTAACAATTTAGCGTATTTCAATTTCTGCCCCAAAGCTAGAAAATTAAAGTTGTCCACCTTTCCTAAATAACTTTCCTTTAAATTACCGTTGGCAATTTTACCTAAAGGAGTATAACAAACGCGGGGTTTCGTGAGGCCTTTGAAACGTTTGCAAAGTCAGGTGTATACGTAGAAGCCCATGGAACGGTTCTATACATTCTGGGTTTTTTTCAGTTGCTGTTGTTCGCTGTTTCTTCTCTTAACTTTTCATGCAATTCTAAATTAAACAAAGAGTCTTGTTGAATAGGAAACCAAAATTTCATATTTTCAATTAGCATGTAAGTTGGAGTGATATCATCTATGAAATGAAAATGTCAACAACAAAAAAAGACAACATTTAATTAATTTTTTTTAAACTCTTTCACAATGTAACTCAGTGTGTGACGGATCCGTCCGAGTGCCTGTTGATCCACACACTGATGAGAAGTAACTCATAGCAGAACATAATAATAACACACATTACATTAAATACAAGTAGTGTATTGATATTATCTCCGTAGACCTCGAGAAACAATTGTCCATCCCAAACGAACAGCTGTCATTTCGACCAGCAGAGGAAAGGTAAGCTCACATACACTGCATTTTAAAACTTAGCTATCAGAACTCGAGGAATTGAATAGACTCCGACTCACCAGGCGATTACATCAAGTAAACTGAAAACATGCGGTTACCATGATATTCAGTTATCCACGCAAAAAATAAAAATAAAAAAAGAAGAAGAAAAAACGAATTTACAGCCATAAAAATAGTAATAAATAATAATGGGATTAACAGTGGATTTCTACGGAATGGCTCTTCTTCGGTATTAGTGGAATTTTAGTAGTTGATTTTTAAAGATACGATTGAAATTAATATTATAATATAAAGTCAAGGCTGCCATAAATAATTTAAAATGCAGTTTTTACACAAAATTCCTTGTCCTCAAGATTTCGTCACTTGTCATCATTTGGCTTTCATTCGTGCAGCTTTTTTAATCAACACGATCAACTTTTCAGATAAACTTCCTTATATCACTGTGCTTCTTTTTCGATGTATTTTAAAAAAAGCCAAAGTTTCAAAATCGAAATATATTGCCACAAAACGAGCGTGCGCGTCGAAAAGGAATTCGGAAAGGTATCATCGTGAAGTAAACCGATTCTGATTCGTTATGCAATATTGTCACTTCCCGTTGGCCTTAAGAAAAAGCGCTTAAAATATGCGAAATCGTGCAGTGTTTCCCCGGCTTTATGCGTAAAATGAATCCAAACTTTTTTGTGAAGCACAATAACTATTAATAACCTCGCTACGATATCATATATTTTTTCTCCTACCACTGAATACTACGTAGAAAATTTTTCGCACGCTCTCACAAGAATTCGAAGCGCCAGCGTGCACTGCTTTGCGACCGCGAATCGGCAAATCATACGTATAATTTTAAGAGCCGAATCCAAAATCCTTTGCCACACTTGGTAATTGGCTGAGAGTATCCTATCATTAGGTCAATTCTGAACCCCTTCCCTACTAAATACACAACTGAATATATACCAAATTTACTTTTAAAAAAAACAGTCTCGCTCTTGGATTTTGGTTGTAAATGTTTAGCTAGAGATGATAACATTTCTTATAACTTTGTTAGCACTTCCTGATGACTGGTATCAACTCGGAACCACTGCCTACAAACTGTTTTTTAAACCACTTCCCTGGCACAAGGCATCTGAAGCTTGCAAATCCAAAGGAGCAAAGCTGGTACAGATAAAGAACGAAGGAGAAAATCGCTTTATCGCGGAAACCTTGTTGCCTGATCTTCGAAGACCTGGTAAACCATAACAATTTTTACATACTTTTTTTTTGTTACTTTTTTAAAGTTACATTTAACATGCAATGTTATGTGAATTGATTTCCTTTTCCTTTTTTCTTTTGGTTTCTTTTCTTATCTTCATCCTTCTTCTTTTTTCGTCTTTAACTTTCCTTTCAAGTTATATCAGTCAGTGGATTAATTTTCAAAGGAATAGGAATTAGTGTCACCCAGGTTTTGTTTTCCCCTTAATTGTGTTTTTTTTTGTGTGTGTGTGTGTTTCCCAGGAACGCAATTACCCGACAGTATGAAACCCTTAGCATATTGGAAATTGGATGGAACTGATACGAACGTGCAGTAAGTACAACTATTCAGTCAACTAACGTTGTCGGTTGGAGATCTGAAATCTGAAATCTGAAATCTGAAATCTGAAATCTGAAATCTGAAATCTGAAATCTGAA